AAAGTCAATGATCGCAATCAATCTTTTCAATCATATACTTATTACTGGATCATAATTCAGAGGCTTTGATATGAATAGATCTGGTCAAGAGCATACCAGTGGGGAATGGGCTGAAAAATTGAGTATAATGTGATACTACTAAATAGAATTGATTAATTACTGTTATAAAACTCAGCATGAAACTTTACAGCAGGATTCACTCTGGACTGAAGGTAGATCATCTTATTGTAAATACAAGTTGAACTATTTATCATTTGATATTTAAAATAATATCGATCATAAACCTTTTAATTTGCAATATTTCTTAATGGAATCCCATCAATAAAAATCCTGTTGACCCGAGGGAACTCTGGAAGTAGATTGTTTTGATTTAGTAGATCAGAGAGATTTATTTTGATTAACAGAAGAAGTCCACTTTGTGTGACTCGCAAAGAATTCTATTAAGTGCAAATTCCACTCCATACTCCAGTGATGTGCACTTGACCACATCTATTCATGTCAGACTGGCACGAATTCTGAGGCTTTGCGGACTATCCATTGGTGTTGCTCTTGGTAATTATTATTGGATTACATCCACTTCATTCATGAAACTCAAATTTGTTGTTGCTTGAATAAAGAATAAATGAAGATAGCAATAGAAACCAGCATGGATAATCTTTTAAGAAACAGCTTGATGCTGCATTGGGAGGATGGCAGGATTGGTATCCTGAAAGGATGAGATAAAATGGGCAGAAGGGCCATCCTCATCCAAATAGTTCTAAGGATTCATACAATACTGAGTAGGTTTTGTTCAAACATCAATAGAATTGTGCTCATGAAAGGGTTAATCTTTGCCAGCTGCTTAAAAGTGCCCTCTATTTCACAGAGGATTACTTGGTCCACAATAAGTGTATTGTACCAGTGGCATGACTGCTTCTTACCACGTGCAGTATTTTACCCAGAACATAAATCACTAAGTATATCTCGGAGACATGTCAGTACAAGGCTCTCTTGTCCCAATTGTCTGCCTGTCTTACACAGTGTGACATTTGGCATGCACTTCCAGGTGGTATTGAACACAACAGTGTGATATTCCATCCACTACAGTGTTTCCATCTTAAAGGAGAAAATATGCAATCTCTTTACAAGTTGCAACTGAAGTAAAAAAAATTGTGCAAAACCAAGACCCCAATAAAATCTAAAATTTATGTCAAACCAAACAAAATTACAAACCAAACAAAATAGCTCTAATTTTAAAAAAGCAACTTAACGCTGTCTTTTATTTATTTTATTGGACTTTTTAAAAAAACTTATTCCTCTCCTGTTCCTCCCCTTGTTTACTGAGCACCATTCCGATGGTTAGAGATGAGGTGGAACCTGTTTCCAGACCTCTGACTTTACTTCTTTTGAGTCATCCTCAAGAGGTATGCAGGAGCAGCCAAGGCTGTCTGACTGATTGTTTCCCCCTTAGAGGGAACTGCTGAGAATCAGCTCTGCCATGTAGGAGATAACTATCCATTGGTAAATGATTTTTTCTTTAGCAGATTTGAAGTCTGCAAAAGGGCATCAGGAGATTCATGCTTAAAATAATCCACTGGTTTGTGCAAATCTGATCACTTTCTATAACAAAAAATGTACAGGGCATTGGGATTGTAATTTAATATTATCCACCATGTTGAATCAAAATTTGTAGCTATGTTTTTTTTAAGGGAATTGGATAAATACTTGAGGGAAACTTGGTGGTAGCAGCGGGGTGCACAGTTTACCTTGTCTTAAGAGGTGGACTGAAGACAAGAATCTGCAAAGGCAGCTGCATTACTCCAAGAGTGAGATTCCCTTCGCCCTCAGCAATTGGAAGCCAAAGCCAGCATAAATCATCCTGCTCCAAACTAAATATGATCTCATTCACGTGTGCAGTATAAACACTTTTAGTGCAACCTGCTGTCTCCTACTTGCCCTCCATTATCAGTCAAGTAAGTTTATTGTGTTAATACTATCTCTAAGCTTGTTCTCTCTTGTCTGAATAGCCCTAATGATCTACTATCATGCTATCATGGAGAGCAAAAATAAATCATCAAGCATAGACATGTGTGCTTGTGTGCATGTTTAAGTTAGCATAGCAGTGCAACCAAAGGCATTGTAATAAGGACAGCTGGCTTCCACATTTAATCGTTGGCTGTTGACAAGTCCAGGGAAATCCTTATATCCCTGGGCCAAGCAATTTTGTAAGTTTCAGCAAATGCTCTGTGACTAAATAGCAGTAATAAAATTATTCAAATGACCGTCTTTGCATTATTACTGTAATATTGATCTTAAACAAATGTTAATAAAAATGAGAGACATTTCCACAGGCATCTGAACACTTTCTCTTCCCCACGTCTGAACCATGCCTTCCCAAACATCAATTTCACCCCACACAAGGGGAAGATTGAGAGCATTCATTGTGCAGGACATTAGGACGCCAATACCAAGAGACGTTCACAGATATTTAAAATAACCAGCGGCCCTCAGCATATTTAATATTCTTTCCAAACTGTTAAATGTGTTCTGCAATGCTCATTCTCTTTAAATAAGATTCATCAACAATTTTAGACTGGGCTGGATCTATATATTTCACTGTTTCTTCTTCACCAGTGTAATTCACTTTTTGCCACTGTTGCGATAAGATAAGTTTGTGGAGATAGCTGTGTTGAATGTCAAAATCTCATTGATGAACTGACTATCATGTGAACCATTGTATTGTGGAGAGTATAAATGTTTAATTGCATTTGTAGATACTTTTTTTTAAATCATCTTGTTTTACAACATAATATGCCATTCTAGATCAAAGTAATTTGAACTGCAAAAAATTATTCAGATTATTTTTTTTTAAATGGTTATTTAAAATGTAAATGCAGTACATGTGCAAGTGAACATTATTTGATCCACATCATAGAAACCAGGGATGGGATATTAATATTTAATCACATTCATTTCTTTTTAAAATAATCATATTTGGCAAAGTCAGTGAAAGGATGCTCAAAATACCTTGTCTCTGTTGCCTTGCACCATAATGTATCTTTTCACTAGAGATCAATGACCTTTTGAAATGAGAATAACTTTATTTCCCTGACAATACAAAAGGTTCTTTGTCCCAGTTGTTTTTCTTCTTTTTTTTCTCCTATTCTATCTGGGCTATACACTGAGCTCTCAAGGACAGGCAGACTTATTCCCAGTTTTCAACAATGCTATTCCCAGCAGAACATCAAAAATGTGCAAGGGCAGCAGGGATGATTCTCTATTTGATTTTCTCCACACCACAAGTCTGAAGTCAGACCTTCTCCATTATACTGCTCCTAAGACCCCATATTACTTTTAAGGGGCAGCGCAGATAGAGGTGCACCTTACAGCCTGGGAGCTTACTGGTCCAGGCCGAGTCTGCTGGTGACGCTTCAGGGGGAAGCTACATTGATCTTCCTTGTGTGAGGGGGGGTAAAAGCCAGCTGTGTTCCTACTTCTTGCCCCTCTTCAATGCCCTCTACTGGTTGTCCACTTGTGTGGCAGCAAAATGGAGAGAGGTCAGGCTTGGTTATGAAGCCCTCTGGAGTGAATTGACCTTCTGACACTCACTGCCAAGACTTGCACATTAGCAGTCAGAATCCTTGTATTTGGTATAAAATATCAAAGCACTTCACAGGATTTTATTTACTGTGAAGTGGAGTGACTGTGTATTTGTTGATGAACAAAGTCCATTTGCATTCAACCTTGTCTGACAACCAGCCATAAAGTGAATGGCCAATTTTATTTGGAGGATTGTTGGCCAGGAGGCGGGGAGAAACTCTTGTTCCCTTTTCGAGTAGTGCAATGGAACTGTTAAGGTCAACCTGGACAAGCAGACGGTCATCTCACCCGAAAGACGCCTCCTCAGACAATGCAATCCCCCCCACCTCCCAGCACAGTATTGGAGTGTCATCTAGATTATGTGGGTTCAAGTCTTGACACAGGGCCCTAACCCACGACCTTCTGATTCAGAGGGAGAGTGCTACAAGTTGAGTCAGGGCTGACACCTCCCTGTCCATTAACAGTGGCCACTTGGGCAGGGTGTCAGAGGGTATTACGGTGCCTTCACCCCTATATGAAGAGGTTGGAGACTATGGGCACAGAGGCATAATAGAAGAGAAATTGGACACGCACTTTTTCTAAAAAAAAGCCTTGCTAGTATTTTTGTGGTGAATATTGTGGATCTGTTTAGTTGATCATCATTACAAAAGCAGCCAATTGTAACTCTTTGAAATCAATGATACATTTATCTTTAAATGAATTATTCCCATCTCTTATGTGACAGGGATTCAATTTTTGTATTCAGTTTTTGTGTATGTATTTATACCTCACATAGATTGAATCTGAAGGTGTATTGGCCAAGGTGGGGGTCGGGGGGGGTTGGGAAATGGAACCGCAATGATCATTTTTTCAAAGAACGAGCACCAATACGATGGGCCAAATGATGTTCTTCTGTGCTCTAAATTTCCATAGTCCTTGCCAACAACAACTGCATTTTCAGGAAGGTGGAGGATGCTTGCATATTCAGCATGGTCCGTCGAAAAAAATTATCTCAGGAGGACCTTGAACTGAGTGAGCAGACTGCCATTTGGTTACAGCACTGCCAGGACAGATGGCGATGCAGGGAGCTAGTGGAGGGTCCCGCTGGACGGCTGACAACTGCTACCTCCCAAACACACAGAGAGGAGTGGGGGAGATGATCTCAACAGCATGCAGGACAAAAGACACATTTGACACAGTAAATAGAACTGCAGAGAACGTGGATGTTTCCAGTGATAACATCCCTAGGCTAAACACCAGGATATGTCCCATATTCTGTCAGTGAGTGTCTAAGGCCCCCACTTTTTTCCCAAATCTGGCCGTGCACCTGCATGGAAATACCAAGTTAAAGATTACTGTATTGGTGATGTTTTATGGTGAAGGTTGGAGAACTGAATGTTATTGTAAAAAGAACATCACAATATGTATTTGTTTCTTTTTAGTGATCCAGTGTTGGTGTTTCCTTGTGCAGACTGCCACGTCATATGTCTAGATTGTTTTCGTTTATACTGTATGACACGACTGAATGATCGCCAGTTTATTCACGATCCACAGCTTGGATATACTCTGCCCTGCGTGGGTAAGTATCAAAACAAATATGAGCTTGTTATTTCGCTTGTGACCTGAAGACATCACCTTTCTTAAGCCTGGAAAATGTCACGTAACTGCTTTAACTGTTACAGATCAGTGTTCGAGAGAAGCTGTCCAGGGTAGATGGAAAACAGCATTGTCACTATTGTAATAAAATATGAAAATGATTTTGTCCAAAGGGTTGTTCAAGACCCCAAGTGCCACTAAGTTGTGGCTAATGTTCAATAAATATTTGTTCCCTTTAAGGAGGAAGCCAGACTATCATTGACAATTTCATATTCCGCTGTTTAATACCAGCTGATCAAGGGGAGGTGAAATTTAATGAACAGGCGGTGATTAGTGTAGCCGTCAAAGAGCTTAACTGTACTTTGTTTTAGTGGACCAATAAGAGCCAATAACTTTCATAATTTATAGAACTGGATGTGCAATTTGCTCCTTTGGGCACTTGATAATGGAGACAGATGTGTTCCCTGTTAATTGGGACACCCAGCCACATGTCAAAACTCATTAGAGAGGCACTGGACACGGGGACACATATGCAACCTATTACAGTACTGGGTTATTTTAAAGTTCATAAGGGGATTATTGTCTGATGTTTAATTTATCAAGTGGAATAGATCTGATAACTCAAGCACCAGACTGCAGTAAATTAGCTCACTGTACCTCTAGCTTGAATGGAACCTAGCCCACCTGCAATATATTAAACCACTAAATAATTGTTTTTTATCACTTTACTTTCTACTTTTCCTGGTTATTATTAATATAGTACAGTACATACTGTAGTGTAATGATAACCTGTATTATGAAGATGTATGGAATATCAATTCCCCTCATTCTGCTGCTCAGAATAATTTTGATCTAGGATTATGCATGTTATTTCAGCTTCTACTACAGTACAGGGTGGTTGGATAGTCAGTGCCAAAATAAAAACTGATTTCCTGTTTTTCATTTACCCATCACAGCAATTCAAATGATTTCCTTTCCCTCAAAAGCACCCCCATCATATGGTTCTCACTTGTGTAGCATTTCTATTATAAAATTACTAACTATTGACTCCTAATATTTCTATGCTGTAGAATGGGATGCTTGTTATTCTGCATGCATTGCTCGATTCTCAAGGCTAATATAGCAATATAATGAGGGCAAGTAAGTCTATCATTTGCACTTTGTTTGATTAAGAAAGCAATGGTGGTTCATTAAGATGTACACATGTTGTTTTTCTGTGGGAATGAACATGTTAATAAATAGAGTAAGCAAGAAGTATGAGCAGTTAATACTTTGACAGAGTAATGGTTATGTGAAGCACACATATGTTAAGAGCTAGCTCTTCAGCGATTTTTAGTCTTGAAAGAGTCTTCTCAAAGGGGGTTTAATAGAGCTGTATAGGATGCTAAATAGGATTCACGAAGTAAACCCAGAACAAACTTTTCAGATATACCAAGGCAGAAAAGGAGAAGACATAAGTGCAGGGTTGTGAAACATAACTTGAGTATAGAAACCAGGTAGTATTTCTTTACATGAAGAGGCTCAAAAACTGGAACAGCTGGTACGAGTAATAGTAAAAAAAGGCCAGAATGCCGGGCTTATTTAAGAAATGGCTTGGTGCTGTGACAGGAAGACAGGAGAATCGATATTCTGTAAGGATGAAATCAAATGGCACAAGGTACTTTCTTCATCCATACCTCTATCTGTGTCCAGGGCTCCCTCTGCCTCCTCGCCCTCTTGGATCTCTCTGCCGCGTTCGGCACAGCCAACTATGCTATCCTCTACCGCCTCTCCTCCCTCATCCACCTTAGTGGGACCGCACTCGCATGATTCGAGTCCTACTTAACCAACCGCCTCCACTTCATCTCTTGCCCCTTTCCGGTCACGTGTGGGGTCCTCCAGGGCTCCATCCTTGGACCTTCTTTTTCTCATCTATGTGCTCCCTCTGGGCAATGTCATTCGCAGACACGGGGTAAACTTCCACATGTATGCGGATGATACACAAATCTACTTTGCCTCCTCCAACATCGACTCCAGGTCCACCAATGTTCTATCAGCTTGTCAGGCAGACATCAGGCCCTGGATGAGTGCAAATGTCCAGCAGCTGAATGTAGACAAGACGGAACCCATACTCTTTGGCTCCTGTCAACGTCTTCACTCCTGTATATCTGAACTCCTCAACCTCCCTGGGCTCTCCCTCAGACTCATGAACTAGTGTCTAATCTATGCGTCCAGTTCGACCCCCAGATGTCCTTCCTCCCCCACGTGTGGAGGAAGGCGGTCCTTGAGCAGGACCGACTTCCTCCACCTCCGCCACATTGCTCGCCTTCGACTGTACCTTTCCCCAAATGCAGCCAAAATCTTTGTGCATGCGTTTGTCACCTCCCGCCTGGATTACTCAAATGCACTCCTCGTCGGTCTCCCGAGCTCCACTATTCAAAAACTCCAGTTCATTCAGAACTCTGCTGCCCGCATACTGACCTGGACCAAACTCTGTACCCCCATCTCATTAGTTCTGTCCAGTCTTCACTGGCTCCCCATCACTGAACAGATCGACTTCAAGATCCTCACTCTCGTATTCAAATCCATTCACTCCCTGGCATCTCCCTACCTCTCCGACCTCCTCACTCCCCAGTCCACCACTCAGGGCTTCTGCTCAACTGGCACCGGCCTCCTGCTTGTCTTTCGCACCCTCCACTCCAGCAATGGATGTCACACTTTCAGCCACAATGCCTCAAAACTGGAACATTCTCCCTCAATCCCTCCGCTTTGCCCCCCATCTCCCCTTTTCCAAATGCCACCTGAAAACCTTCCTTTTCGACCATGCTTACAGTCACCTCCCACCCTCCCCCCCGGCTCGGAGTCAGGCTCCACCACTGTTAAGCGCTCTGAGACCCTATCCTGCGTGGAGGGCGCCATAAGTGCTAGTTGTTGTATACCTTTCTTGTGATGATCATCTGACCTTTAAGAAGTAATTATTGGTGAGGGATACAAATTGGTAGTAGATGCACAGAGTTCCAATTTTAATGATAAAGGTTCTTTTCTTCCATCGTTGATTTTTAATTGGAGTGAAACCAATGGAACCGCATACGTGACTATATACAATAAAGACAGAAGGTTAAGCAGTTGTATTCATGCTGAAAGCATGTTCAAAAGTATCATAGACATTATTGTAGCTTCTATTATTTGTAAAAAAAATTTTTTAGCAGTGACCACATTTCTTTCATGAATAAATGTGAAGAGAAAATACATGAACATTCCCCATTCCAATACTAAAGTAAATCAAAAATGGAGAGATATGGCTAAATGGTAAAGGTGTATTATTTTTCACAGGAACTAAACTTAGCAATCTCTGTAAATTGTACAAGATCCCTTTATTGAGCCAAGTGCAGGGAAGAAGCGGAACTTCACAAATCTGGTATCCCAGGATAGTGATACTTCAGTTACAAAACAAGAAATGTTATGCATGGTTCGAGTCCTACTTAACCAACCGCCTCTATTTCATCTCAGCAAATGATTTCTCCTCCTGGCCCCGGCCCGGTCGTGTATGCGTTTGTCACCTCCCGCTTGGATTACTCCAATGCACTTCTCACCGCTCTCCCTGGCTCCACCATTCACGAGATCCAGCTCATTCAAAACTCTGCTGCCCGCATACTGACCCGGACTAAACTCCGTACCCACATCTCACCAGTTCTGGCCAGGCTCCACTGGCTCCCCATCACCAAACAGATCGACTTCAAGATCCTCACACTCGTGTTCAAATCCATTCACACCCAGGCACCTCCTGAACTCTCTGACCTCCTCACTCCCCAATCCGCCACCCGGCACCTCCGTTCAACTGGCATCAGCCTCCTGCTTGTCTAAAAGCAAGAAATTATATGGTTGGGAAACATTTATTACCTTATGACTCACAACAAAACAACAACAAAATTACATTTATAAAGCACCTCTCACGTCGGGAGGACATCCCAAGGTGCTAAAAGTTGCTGAAAAGATGTCCCTAAGCATCTGCACTTCAAAGATGAAATTGAAAATTGGAGAAATTCCCTCCAACTAGCAAGGTATCTTACTTTCGCAAGATTCCTGAGGTTGTGTTAGACATTAGACTCCCACATCTTACTTTATTTCTGGAAAATATTTTCATAAGAGAATTGAGAAGATTTTTTCCTGGATAAACATCAGCCAATCTCCCATCCTAAAGTCTTCTGATGGAAAGCTGATATGTCTGTAATAATGTAGCAGCATGGAAGATCCTCTTGGTCAATTATAAGGTGCTTATTTCCCCCACTTTGTGGTAGACAATAGCACTGAAAGAATATGTATGAAAAGTGTGATTCTACATTCAAACAGCAACAGACTTAAATTATGACTTGGATATACATGGGTTTGAAGCAACTTCCCATTCAGACATGTCGTCCTCCAATACTGTGATGTAGCTCAATTTCCATCAATGTGACTGCTGGAGTTAATTGAATGCAGTGGCTATTTATTCTGTCGCTAAAAGAATACCCATAGTTATTAAATTTAGGCTAAATTTTCTACTGTACTATTTTAGGATTGGAGCGTGATTTATTCTACCCCAATGCCTTTTTGAATCCACTCAGGAGATGACCTGGCAGTAAGTTTTAAAGTCTGCATTACTTTGTGAAATAAAAATAACTTATTTTAATAGATTAAGTACTTATACAACAACATTTCATATGGGGAAATGTATAGTTGCCAGGAATTAGCACATTATGGTAGTTGTTAATGGGATTTTGGAGACTCATTGTGATGGTAAAGTAAGTAATGAAGTAATATAGTGTTAAGGTAATACATGCTGTGGCTATAAAATAACACTTATTGAGATAAACTGGACTGAACCATCTGAATTACTTTATTTGTACTTTGGAAGCTTCTTAATCCTCAGTGATAATCACTCCAATATCTCCAATTTCATTGTTTTTTATATTAACAAAACTCTTCCAAATGGAATCCGAAGTCCAACATACATGTTGATTCATG